GAAGTTCTTGCCTACGACGCTGCACTCGCTTCCTGACACTCAGCCTTTCGCTCCTGTCCTCTGCAGCCCATTCTCCACGCAGCAGCCAGTGTGCTCCTTTTCTGCTAGAAATCAGGCCTGATCCCTTCTCTGCTTAAAAACACTTTGACAGTTTCTCAGCTAGAGGAAAATCCAAACTCCCTGCCACTGTTCACAGGGCACTGGATGATCTGGTCTCCCCGCACGCTGGCCTCCTGCCAGCGGCTCTGACTTATTTCCCGCCTCTCCTCGCTTTGATCACTGTGTTCCAGTCACGCTGGTCGTCCCTCTGACCTCTTCTAGACCCCGAGCGCATTCCTTACCTCGCAGTCTTTGCGCTCGCTGCTCTTCTGCCCGGTACGCCCGCTCCTCTGATCTCCATGACCGGTCCCTTCTCGTCCCTTGCATCTCTGCTCAGGTATCACCGCCTCAGAAAGTGTTCACGCGCCATTCAGCCCAAAGTATCCATCCACTGACCGTCACTCCATACCCGCACCCTCTTTTCTTTCTTCTTGGTAATTTCACATTACCACTGTGTGAAATTTGTGCTTATTTTTAAAAGTTTATTGTCAGCCTTTCCATTCCCCAACTAACACGGGAGCTCCGTGAGAACAGACATCTCGTTTCTTTCCTCACTTCCCAGAACCCAGAACTGTGTTTGGCGCGTAGCCTGTCCACACATTTGGGGAATGAGTGAAGAAGGAGGTAACATTACTGACCCAACTTTCCTGCTATTTCATATATTTACATAAAGGTCTTTTGGGAATACTCATATTTCTAACACTGGTCCTCATGAATGTCTTCTCCATGTATTCTAGAAAGTGCTAACCAGTCTTTAAAATGCAAGCAGCATATTTCACATCTGATTTCACGCAGGTATACTCTGAAGGGAATGAGTTTACGTTTCTATTGCCACTGACAGGATGGTCACATTTGTGGCAACGCACAACTATTTCTATGGAATTCAAAAACTGTCCCGTATCTCTCAGAGCCAAAGTGTGAGTTTTCATACAGGAAGTCACATCTGTAATGAAAAAGCCCAGACACCTAAGTCCTTAAGCAATTGCTCAAAGCATTTGATTGCATTATTTTTCTAGGCTTCGGAATGTTTCAAGGCTCATTCTCTTTGTGATATCCGTCCAGGCCAAACAGACTGGGGTTGGAAGGCAGGGTCACGTAACAATAGAAATATGATTCTGTTGCCCTTCTACTGTGAAACCCAACAGAATCGTGCCAAGTCCTGCTGGGCTGCAGCTGCTCTACTCTGCCCGAAATGCTAATGTGCACTGCGGGGAGGACATACCACTGGAGATGCAGACTGATGAGGCGGACAGACTCCTTTCCCCCGACTCTTGGGTCATAGTCTGATGCTCTGAGGCCGAGGCCAATAACGTCCTACAGAGATTTTGACAAAAAATAGCTATTTCAGATTTTACTCAAGATCCCCTTACCGTAAAAATCCATGCACAAATCTGTGGGATCAACAGCAGGGGCTGGACAGACCCTCTGAATCATCTTGTTCTCTGATGCTGAAGCTTTAATATGGGACTAAGCCTGGACCCTCTACTCTTTTCTCAAAGGACGGGTTCATTCTTTGGAGGCCGCCCCTTCCTCAGGCAAGTAACTGCGGACTGCCCCAACCCACATGATCTCCAGACATACCCTAATCTATGGGGAACACATAGTACTTAAGGTACTTCCTTAGAGTCAATAATCAAAATAAAACTAATAATTACAGCGAACGTTTAGTTTGCACTTAGTGTGTGCTAGGCACTTGAGCTAAGCACCACCATCCCAGGGAACTGAGGCTTAGAAAACTTTAAAAACTTGCCCAAGCTCAAAAGCTTGGAACTGAAGGAGGAAGTGATTGAATACTGGTCTTTCTACTACTGTCTATCCAGAAGCTACGCTCTTAACCAATATACTATACTGTCTCTTGTTGCACAAGTCATTATAAGGTTCTTCTGTAAAATTCTATTCTGTAGAATAGAAGGTAAAACAAATCAAGGAATTAGAGATGTTTGTTCTGGATATTAACTCAACATAATATTTGATTCAAATTATTTGTATATTAGTTCTCTATTGCTGCATAACATAATACCCCAAAATTTAGCAGCTTAAAACAACAAACATTCATTATTTCTCACAGTTTCTGAGGGTCAGGAACATGAGAGCCACTTAGTGGGCTGGTTCTGGTTCAGAGACTTTCATGAGGTTGCAGGGAAGCTATCATCAATCTCAGGACTCAACTGGTGCTGAAGGAGCTGCTTCCAAGCTCACTCAAGCTTGCTGGTGGGCCTCAGCTCCTCATTGACCACTGGCAGAAGACTTCATTCCTAGACGTCACGTGGGCCTGCCACAGGGCTGCTTACCCAGTGTGGCAGCTTGTTTCTCCTAGAGCAAGAGAGAGAGAAAAAGAGAGAATACCCAAGATGCAAAGCTTCTACTTCTGCTGTAGACTACAGTCACACAGACCAACCCTAGTACAAAGTGGGAGGTACCTACCCCAGGAGGCAGAGATCACTGGGTAGTATCTTGGAGACAAGCTACCACATTTGCTAGCATTTGAATCAATTTAATCTAGAGTTCTAACCCTGAATCTGCTATCTGCCATACAAATCACTTTAGGCTCTCTTATATACAAAACAGGGACATCCTAATTCAGAATCTTGAGGGATAAAGGGCCTCAGGTAACTGATTCAGATTCTGAGTTCTCTCTCTCTTTTAAAAGATGCAATTTAAATAATAATAACATTAGATAGTAATCACAGTGCCACCAAGAACTGGATGGCCCCATCCCAGGTTGCTCTTTGCTTTGTGCAGGAGGATAAGCCATCCATGACGAATGGCTGATTTTCTTCTCTTTAAAAAATTTTTAAATTATTTTTTATTCACAGCTTCTGTGGCTGTCTTAAAAAAATTACTTTTTTATTTTTTATTTTTCTATCAGGTAGCCCCCGAACCAGAAAAGGTTCAGAGAGACTCTCTATTTTCTTCTTAAGGATCTGTAGCTTCTTTGGTAGTTTACCAAATTGTTTTCACACTATTTCAGGAGGGTTTCTGATGTCCAACTGATAGTTCCCTAACGTTAAAATAAGACTTTTTCACCTTGTTTGGTCTGGACACAGGTCAACATTCTTCTCAGAGAAGCTTTCATTTATTTTGAAATATTAAAATAATATTTTAGGATACAAAAACAAAGTTTATTTTCAGGAAGCTTTGCTTTCTTTTTCAGTTAGTTCCAGACAAGGATTGTAACTTAAGATGTGAGAAAGGATTAAGTACATTGCTAAAGACATAGCCATCCTTCTTCAAGAAGCAGGAATAGTGAACAGTATTACTAATATCGTGATAACATTTTGATCATACTTTTTAAAAATCTTCTATGTTTTATAGAAATTTTTATATTTCCTTATGTAAAACCTGCTGGCAAGGTTAGCTTCCCCTTCTGTATTTTTATTTTCAATGTAGAATATAGGGCTATTAAATATTCTTATCCAACAAATTATATTTTTTTAAGGTACACTTAGTTCTCTATCACTAAACCACTATTATTATAAAAAAGGAATATCTTGCAATGCTGAATTTAGCAGCTCAAACTCTTTTTTTTCTTTTTCTTTTCTTTTTTCTTTTTTTTAAGAAAAGGCCTTGCTCTGTTCCTGGAGCTACAGTACAGTGGCATCAACACAGCTCATGCAGCCTCAAACTCCTGAGTTCAAGTAATCCTCCTGCCTCAGCCTCCAGAGTAGCTGGGACTACTGGCACATCCACATGCAGCTAATTTTTGTATTTTTTGTAGAGATGGGTCTCACTATGTTGCTCAGATTAGCCCGAACTTTTAAGTGCCTTATAATAGTGTCCTCGAATAAGACAGCCAGTAGCTACATGTGACTACTGAGCACTTAAAAAGTGTGGTAGTCCAAATTAAAATGTGCTGTAAAATACACACTGGATTCTTAAGCTTTATGGGGGAGAAAACAAAAGGTAAGATCAATGATTTTTGTATAACAATGTAAAATATCAATAATTTCTGTATTTATTACATGATAAAATGACAATGTCCTGGATACGTGCTGGATTAACTAAGTATTTTATTAAAAGTAATTTCACCCTTTCTTTTTACTTTTTTAATGTGTAGCACTGCCAGATAAAATACAGGACAATCAGTTACACGTGAATTCCATATATTCCTGCATGAGACATAATACTAAAAAAATTATTTGTTCTTTATGTGAAATTCAAATTTAACTAGGTGCTTTCTATTTTTATTTGCTAAATCCAAAAAAATTAATATAGCTACTAGAAACTTTAGCATAACAAATATAGCTCCTTATTCTATTTCACAGCGCTGCTTTTGAATCAACGAGTTGCTATTTCTTTTTCTTACCAGTTAACTCCTGAGCAAGCTCTATGCAGAAATAAGTAATTAAGAGGGGAACATTTAATCCTAGCGTAGGATCGTTAATCTCGAAGTTAAATTTTTACACCTGCTTGAACAAAACTGCTTGTTACAGACCAAAATAATAAAAAGGGCTTCTGGACCGGAATTAAAAGTCATTGCTCCCCGTCTCCTACTGGGATAGTTAACAGTCCCAGTTTTAAAATAATCCGTCACCTGGGCGGTGTCAACTGTCTCCAGACCCTGGGCCAGTCTCGGTCCTGGCCAAGAGCCGGGAGGGAGCGGGCGTCGTCCATGCTCGAGCTCAGCGGCCACCGGCCCGTCTGCACCTGTCCCGCGCCGGAGGGTCGCGCTCGGCCTCGGACGGCCAGGCCACGAGTCTCGCCGCCGGCCTCCCCCAGCCTGCGCCACCCGGTCACCCCTCGGGCCGGGCCCCACCCGGCCCCAGGCACGGGCCCCGCCCTGCCCAGACGCTGCCTGTGGGCCCGGCCGGCCCAGCTCCGCCCCGCCGCGCCGCACTGGCGGGGAGGCCCCGCGGCCCCGGCCCAGAGCCCGCCCCGGCCCGCCCCTATGTAAGGCCGGCGCGGCTGAGGCGGCGGCGGGAGCCGGGAGCGGCGACTCGGCACGCGGCCTCGCTCGGTTCCTCGCTCTCGGGTCGCGCGGCGGCGGCGGCCCCCCGCGCACGCGCACAACGCTCCGCGCCCGCCGGATCCTGCGACCCCGCGCCGCGCCGCAGAGGGCGGCATGCGGGACTACGACGAGGTGACCGCCTTCCTGGGCGAGTGGGGGCCCTTCCAGCGCCTCGTCTTCTTCCTGCTCAGCGCCAGCATCATCCCCAACGGCTTCAGCGGCCTGTCGGCCATGTTCCTGGCGGGGACCCCCGAGCACCGCTGCCGGGTGCCGGACGCCGCGAACCTGAGCGGCGCGTGGCGCAACCACAGCGTCCCGCTGCGGCTGCAGGACGGCCGCCAGGTGCCGCACAGCTGCCGCCGCTACCGGCTGGCCGCCATCGCCAACTTCTCGGCGCTCGGGCTGGAGCCGGGGCGCGACGTGGACCTGGCGCAGCTGGAGCAGGAGAGCTGCCTGGACGGCTGGGAGTTCAGCCGGGACGTCTACCTGTCCACCATCGTGACCGAGGTGGGTGCCCGCGCCGTCCCTGCGCACGCGCGCCCCTCTCAGGTGCACGCGGGATGCTGTCACTCGCCTCCCTCCACACGCAGCTCCCTGGTGACAGGTGTCCTCCGCCAGGTGGCTCAGAGCCCTTTGCGGGGTGCCTTCCATCCAGAGTGTGCCCCTCACGGCACAGACCAGCCCGGGCTCCCATTCTGGTGGCCGCATTGAAGAGGGAACCAAGAAGGCCCTGGTGGCCCCTGGGCGATACTCCAAGGCCCCGGAGGGGTCATTAATTCCCCTGGATGGAGTTGGGAGTGGCGAGCCAGGGCTTGGACCAAGGGGCTATCACCGTTTTTCCTCCAGTCTCTTGGCATCTGTTCAGAAAAAGAGAAAATACTCCTCTTTCCTAAACTTTTAAAGGAAGCATTTGTATAAAACTGCCTCTTCCCGCTCTTCTCCAGTTACTCCTTCCCCCACGCATCCTCAACCCAAAATGACGATCTGGTCATGCCCAGTAAGAAATCGTTTACCTTTTGCCCGTGGTCAGTGGTCAGTGTTTTAGGATGCATGCATCTGCACATCTGCTCAGGGTGACTTGTGGACCTGGAATGTTTTCCTAGGCATTCTGTGGCAAAGTCAGTGTCCAGATTTAGTTAAAACATGCAACCTTAGTTCACAGAGAGTCAAGGAAACCTTTCATATTTCCCAGCCCCTTGGATTTTCGTTTTGGGTGGCTCTGTCTGTCCCCTGGTGAACCTGTTGGAGCTGGATGTATGACATGATGTTAACGGTGCATGTGCTTTATGTCTTACTCAGATACTGGCACTCTAACTCCCTGGAGTTCCAGCTGGACTGGAGAAGCCGGCAGTGACGGAACTCTCCTTGATAGGCCCTGGGTCACCAGGTTCACTGAGTGTCAGGATTAGGGATTTGCAGGTTAGAGAAGGTTTCCTGAGGGGGGAGGCCTCTCGGTGAGTCTGGGGTGTTCAGCTCAGCAGAATACTGAACGGAAGGCCCAGGTGCAACAGCAAGAAAATACCCAGCAGGAGGGCAGCGTTGGGGGCAGGGGAGAACTCAGGGGAGGGTGCCGCAGGTCCAGGGGTCCCCAAAGAATTGGAACCTTCATTTGTCTCAAATCCTGGGTCCTAAGGCCGGGCGCTGTGGCTCACGCCTGTAATCCTAGCTGTCTGGGAGGCCAAGGCGGGCGGATTGTTTGAGCTCAGGAGTTCGAAACCAGCCTGAGCAAGAGCAAGACCCCATCTCTACTAAAAATAGAAAGAAATTAATTGGACAACTAAAAATATATAGAAAAAATTAGCCGGGCATGATGGCGCATGCCTGTAGTCCCAGCTACTCGGGAGGCTGAGGCAGGAGGATCACTTGAGCCCAGGAGTTTGAGGTTGCTGTGAGCTAGGCTGACGCCAAGGCACTCCAGCCCGGGCAACACAGTGAGACTCTGTCTCACAAAAAAAAAAAAAAAAAAATCCTGGGTCCTAGCCCCACAAGTGAATCTATGACCTTCCTGGAAGCCAGTGAGAATGGAAGGCAGAGGCTGTCCCTAAAAAAAAAAAAAAAAAAATCCTGGGTCCTAGCCCCACAAGTGAATCTATGACCTTCCTGGAAGCCAGTGAGAATGGAAGGCAGAGGCTGTCCCTGGGGTTGCAGGCAGAAGCCACGGAGGAGAACAGGACACCGGAGTTCCCACAAGTTCTAGTGACTGCAAAGAAGAGGAAGGCAGTGAAGCCAGAAGCAGCTCATGGCATCTCCTCGGTTCTCGCCCTGACCCCTGAGAAGCCCCTGGCGTACTCGAGCCCTTTGCTCCTGCCTGCTGCCCCATCTTGGCTTCACCGAGTGGTGGTAGCATTGATGCGCTCGCTCCCAAAGGCCAGCTGTGCTGGAGGGTCTGAGCCTACCTTGCCGCCAGTATCAGTTTTTCGTTTTTTATATGTAGACTGTCTATTTAGCTGCCTTAGCAGTTTCGTGAGAGTTGTATGCCCTTTCACCTACTTGCAGGTTGTCAGTCTTAGCTGGGAGGCGAGATTAATACTTTACTTAGCCTCGTTTCTGGATGCTGGAATGTCTGACTTTAAAAATTCAAAGCTACTTTTTCCTCTCAGGAGAACAGTTACTATTGGAAACTGCTGCATCAACATTCTGATGGCTTTTTTAAAGGCCCGTTTTCTTGCAACCCAGACCCAGCACACTGACTACTGCAGCTAGCTAGTCTTGTGCCTGCTAAATACCTCCAAGCCTGCCCTCTGCTCCAGATCATACATAGAGGTGTTTGGAAGTACAGTGGTATTGAATTCCTATTCATATTTTTCTTTTCTTTTCTCTTTTCTTTTCTTTCCTTCCTTCCTTCTTTCCTTCTTTCCTTCCTTCCTTCCTTGTTTCTTTCTTTCCTTTCCTTCCTTTTTTATAGGGGCTCACTCTCCCAGGCTAGAGTACTGTGGTACAGTCATAGCTCCCTGCAGCCTCAAACTCCTGGGCTCAAGCAATCCTCTTGGCTCAGCCCTCCTGAGTAGCTGAGACTATAGGCGCATGCCACCATGCCCAGCTAATTTTTTTAATTATTTTTTGTAGAGGCAGGGGTCTTGCTATGTTGCCCAGGCTGGTCTTAAACTCCTGGCCTCAAGAGATTCTCCCATCTCAGCCTCCCAAAGTACTGGGATTACAGGCATGAGCTACCATACCTGGCCTCCTATTCATATTGTTCAGCCAAAGACTTGAATCTCAGGTCTCCTGTTTGGTTTTCTTTTCCCTTTTTTCACGTTAAAATATATACCTGTAGTACTAAACTTTGTGGTAGCTTTAGATCTTTGCAGCTTCCTCAATTCCTGACACAGTGCTGGATTCAGAGGGAGGTTCTCAGGAAAATTTTTATTGACTGAGTTAATGAATAAGAAATCATCTCCAAAGTTTGAGAACTGAAGGAAAACCAACGGTTTAATTCTTAGAAGGGGAGTTTGGGAGTGGCTGAAAAGGATTGACTGGAATGTCGTAAGGGAAATGTGATTTCCCACCTCGTTAACTGAGGCTTGGTGCCGAGTGGATCTGGAACAAGACGTTGGGATTGGCAGAAAGAGAGGACAGTACTTAGGAGATGAAAGAGGTCTGTGCTCCCATGTTCCAGGAGTAGTCTGGTGGTCCACATGCTTCCAGGCTGGCCCCTCCGCTGCCCTTCGGTCGTGCCTGGGGTGCTGGGGAGTCGGCCAGCCCATCCTGCAGTGCTTCTCAGCCCAGGACTGCCCCCTCCTCCAGGAACCTAGGTGATTTCTCAGGTGGCCTAGGCCATCCACTTTTTGGTTTCACCATAGCTCAGCCCAGCCTATAGGCAGAAAGGTTCCTTCAGAAACTTTTTTTTTTTTTTTTTGAGGCAGAGTGTCTGCTCTGTTGCCCAGGCTGCAGTGCCGTGGCGTCAGCGTAGCTCACAGCAACCTCAAACTGCTGGACTCAAGCGATCCTCCCACCTCGGCCTCCCAGAGTGGTAGGATTACAGGCGTGAGCCACCGCACCCGGCATAGAAACTTCTAAGCTGGCACTGAGGAGTCCGGGCCTCTTTAGCTGGCAGTCCTCTGCATCGCCTTGCTCCCTGCCTGTCTCTGCTTCCCAGAGCTGCCTGGCTCAGTCCTCAGCAGGACTCCCACTCACTCCCTATTGTCCTGGACTAGCTTTTCTATCAGCCTCGTCTCAGGTATAGATAGATGGTCCTGGAAAATGGGAGAGCCCCCACTGGTATCCACAGACCTGCCTGGAGGAATAGCCACAGCGACCTGGGAGTGGGGCCAGGGCTGAGTCTGGGCTGGAACAACCAGAGAGGCCTGGAGCTTGTGCCTTGCTGCTGTCTATGCCTTTGCTAACTTCTCTCACTCGGGAAGCGCGGACACTTGTCCAGGCCTTTGCATCTTACGGGAAGTCAGAGAAGCCACTTTGCTGGGCCCTGCATCCCCGGTGTGTGACAAATCATAGTAGACACATCTGGCTATGAGCGGTCAGATTGAGCCCCTCACTGGCTAGCTGAGAGCCGTCACCCTGGGTCAGAGTTCTGACAGTTGACACAAAGCAAGGGGTCAGGGAACAAAGAAAATAAGTCTATTCTAGACATTGAAGTTTAGAGTTCATCTAGACTTTGGGCAGCCAGGCAAGGACCAAGCCCAAAGGATACTATGATGCTGAAGGTTGACAACCTTTATATTTATCTGTGTACTCACTCCCCTGGGTACCAAACAGCTCCTGAGCCTCTCCTCTGTACAGGGCACTGGCAGGCACTGTAGGGGGTATGATAGCAAACACTTCTTTTCTTTGCACTGACCACCTTGAGGCAAGGATCCACCATTCACTGTAGCAGCAGGTAGGACGGACTGTGTAGGAACACATGGCGTGCGGTAACACGTGGTGTCTACCAGTGTGTCTGACCGTTGGTGTGGTCAGGCTAGGTACATCTCAGGGGAGAACTTCTGCCTCACGATCACAGACCCTATTTCTTTTCCCTTCCAGCCAATTCACAGGTAAGAACATTTAGTCCCAGGGAGCTATGTTGTCTCTCTTCTTCCCGTGATTGAAATGCAGTGCTAATTATGTATGAGTGTCAGAGGCACAATTCTCCCTCTTTTACAAAAGTTGAACAGCCTTATTGAGATATAAGTTACATAAAACCTGCACATACCTGAAGTGTACAGTTTGAAAAGCTTGGCACATACATCTACGCACCTGTGCAGCCGTCACCACCTGAAAGGCGCGTTTCTCAGCAGAACGAAGTGCAAGTCAGGCCCCTTGCCGGAGCTGCTCCCGGGTGTTTTTCAGGTTGGATCTGCTTTCGCAGCTCACCCAGCCGAGAGGTGATGACGTTAGACCTGTGACCTGAGCCTTCACCCACACATTCCCGTTTAACGTTGATACCCGTTGTCGTCAGCCGGTACAGCGCATCCTGTGTGCCGAGCGGCGGCATCGATAAGCTGCAGCTGCTTTAGTCTTAGCCGGGGAGCCAGGAGCTCAGTACGGAAACCCCCCGCTCCCGGGTTGCTGTGCTCTGATTGCTTTGTGAACACTGGAGGCAGAGGGTGCTCAGCCTGGACTCCGTGGCTTCTTGTCCCACCCCTCTAAGGAGGACTCAGGCCGTGGCCTGGAGCCCGTGCAGTCCATCTGTTGGCTGCCAGGCGGGTGGATGGACTGCTGGGGGGACGCGATCCGTGCCTGCCCCGTGCTCACTTTTGACACCTGTCGCATTTCCTGACCCTACTCACAGCCCCCCTGAGGCTGGTGGAAAAGAAGTGTTAACGCGTGTTCGCTTTTGGAGGGCCCAACGCCAGGTCCTGAGAGTTGAGAAGGACGGTCAGTGGTGGGTGGAGGGCACTGTTAATCCAGGGGTCACACACTTGCCTAGACTAAGGACAGGCGGCACCAGGTGGGGAGGGTGGGGCTGAGGGACCCCCAGAGGTGCCTATCCCAAGGTGGGCACCATAGTCACGCTGTGCCCTGCAACCCCAGAACTCGCTGGTGATGCCCACGTGGATCTCTCGCTCATCCCTCTTGGCCCCCAGTCCTCATGACAGATCTGTAGAGAAACGGCTGCTGACCCTTTGTTCATTCTTTTCACCTTTTTTATTGCAAAAGTAATACATGTTAGCTGGGAGATAGATCCCGTCGTACTCAAGAGTGGCCATAGCTATAGTCTGGCCCCTGACGCTCAGCCTAACACCAGAGGCCCGCACCCCCCCATCAGCGATTCCCTCAGCTTTGTCTCCCCCACCACGGCCACTCCCGGCTTTAACAGCCCCATGGGGATGGGGTCTGCCCTAGGAGTACTCACCCACCTCCCAGAGAGAGGGTGTCTGGGTGCCAACACCTCTGAGGCTGCGGCGGCTGTGATGCTCTGACACTCCTGATCCTGCCCGTCTGGGCTTCCTGGAGATCGCCAGCCCACGCTCAGCCCGTCCAGGTGCACGCGTATTCCGGGTGGAGAGCTGGCAGCACGCCTGGCTGCAGGGGCTCTTTGTGTCCAGCCTGAGGGCTGCCCTCCGACCCCTCCGAGGGGTGCCCGGGGGCTGAGAGCACCCTTGCCAGCAGGGCGGAGAAGCAGACTTGCTTTTCCCTGTGTCACTGGCCCGGAAGATCGGCTTCGTTCCAGGGAGCCACACGCTCTCCCTGCCTCTGTTCATGAGCGGGGAGCCGACTCCCCACTCCGGGCAGGCTGGCAGCCCGGTGCCACGAGTCTGAGTTCCCGGGAGGGTGGCTGTTCACGTGAGAAGTCTGCAAAGGTTGTTACTTAGTGCCATCTCTCTGTTCTGGGAAATGTTTTTCTGGGAACCACCAAGTTTCTTGTTTTGGCTTTTTCCTTCTTTTTGCTCCTTCTGAGGCTGGGGCAGCCTCGTGTCTGAGTGTCGGGTACTTCCCATGCACCCCGCCCTTGCAGACTCTTCCTGCCCGTGGTAACTGCGGATGGAACCACACATCGAGTGCTGCTTGGGGGCAGCGCAGCCTGTTCCCTCCCCCAGTCCCTGTTTTACAGACGGAGAAACTAAGGCACGATATATTGGTGGGAAGTGCTTGTCTGAAGCTGGACAACCGTTTAGAATAGAAGCTGAAACCCAGTTTCCTAAGTCCCAGCTCAGAGCCTTCGGCTATAATTGGGCCTGGTGTTATTGGCGTGCAGCATCAGGGATTCCAGCTTAAATGTCACGAGAAGGACCTAGGGGTCATTGGCCTAGAGCAGAGCCTGAGCAGAGCTGAAGGAACAGGTCCAGACGGTGCAGTCTGGGCCCTCTGGCCTCCGTGCCTTGCGGGATGCCTTGACCCCGGAGCCCTGCCCCAGAACCACTCCTGTGCCGTTCGTGCCAGCGGCCTGAACCCCCCGCCCCGAGCAAGGGCACCTGCCTCTTCCATAGCCCTGGGCTCTGCTCAGAATTTTAGGAGCAAGCACCAGAGGCCCTGCCTTCTCCTGGGTTGGCATGTGGGCAGAGCACTGCCCCTGCCTGTCTCCCCTCCTCAAAAGGGGAGCAAGACAGTGAGGCCCACAAAGCCATGAAAACAGGATGGGGAGGGAGCCTGCTCTCTGCCTACTGCCCGGTGAGCCTTCGCGGCCTAAGCGAGCTCACACACTGAGACCACGCGGGAAGCAGGATGTTCTGCTTTCATTTTCTAGGAAGCCTTAAATTTAAAACCTTTTCAAAGGAAGTGAGTGATACAGCCCTTTGCTCCTCCTGCAGTGGAACCTGGTGTGTGAGGACGACTGGAAGGCCCCCCTCACGGTCTCCATGTTTTTCGTGGGAGTGCTGGTGGGCTCCTTCATTTCGGGGCAGCTCTCGGACAGGTAAGGTCTCTGTCTCCTGCTGTTTTGACCCATTTCTCACAAGCAGGTTATTGTGGGATTCCAAAGCTTTCAACTCAAGGACCATTAATGGCTTAAGGAATCCCCAAACCTTTGTAATTATACACAAGATGTTAGAGGTTGTATGTGAGCATTATTTTGGAGAAAGGTCTGTAGCTATCATGAAGTTCTCAGAAGGGGTCATTATGTTGTGTCTCCCTACTCTGGAGCTTCTGGGTCTGTCACAAAAGCCTGAGACGAGAAGAGCAGCCCTCAGCAAGTCCGTGGCCACGCTGGCACCTGTGGGGACAGCCACAGAGTCAGTGGTCGCTCAGGAGGAAGGAGTCCCGGCGTCCTCTAGTAGAGAAGTTCAGGATGAGAACGTCGTCCTGCCTTAGGAGCAAAGCTGTTCTGTCCTACAGCACAGCTCAGTGATTTGGCACGTTTGCATTTACGGATTATTGTCTGTTCCTGAGAAGGCTTTCCTCGTGAAAAATTTAAATATGTACATTTCTCACTAGATTTGTCTTTTCCAGAGTGTCATCTAGTGCTTTTTTTAAAAAGAAAAACAATCCTGCAGTCGCCAGTGAGCATTAAAGAGTCCAGTAGACCCTGACCACGATCGACGATTCTAGCTGAGCCTGAGACACCTGCCTCTTTGGAGGAAAAGCCTTCGCTTCTCCAGATCTTTAACCTAGCAGCAAGCATGGATTATTTACATTTATTTAACAAATGCATAGCACCTAATATGCACCAGATGCTGTTATAAGTACTATATAGATTTTTTAAAAAACCAAATAATTTAATCCTCATAACCCTGTGAAGTAGGAACTAATTCCCATTTTTCAGACGGGGAAAGTGAAGCAGACGGGGTTAGATGACCTGCCCAAATGGCTTCCCCAGGGTAACCCAGCTGGCAAGTGGCAGAGTTGGGATTTGGACCTAGTTTTGTTCCTCCTCTGTTCTGTACGGACTCCTGTTCCAGGTCCTTGCTGTCCTGGAACTTGCTTTCTAGCAAGGCAGAGCGTATTGAGCGGCCAACTGAGGAGGTGGTTGTTATCCTTGGCCGAGTTAAGTGATGCCGAGAGGTGCAGGGCGTGGGGGGTGTCTCGCAGGGAGGTCAGGGGAGACACCGCGACAAGGCGAAGCGTAGGCTGAGAGTTGAAAGATGAGTAGAAATCAGCAAGCTAACGGGGTGGAAAGAGGAAAGAGCGTTCCTGGCAGGGGAACAGCGTGTGCTAAAGCCTAGACTCGTGGAGAGGCTCGGGACGGAGAAAGGTCCATTGTGCAGAGGTGCGGCGAGCAGAGAGGC